GGCGCGGGGGTGGATGGCGGGGTGCGGGGGTCGGTGGTCCCCGCTGCCGGGGGTCCGGGGGTAAAAGTCCCACCCCGGCTTGAGCCCCAGGGATCCCCGCGTGACAACACTGACTGACGCCCTTGAAACAGGCGCCCGTTGCTGCCTCTGTGGACTTCAAGTCCATGTCAGTACTCTATGCGGCACATGGCGCTTCGGTAAGTTCGCTTTGCTTTTTTTTTTTTTTTTTTTTTTTTGTTGGCTTAAAGCCAACGGTCGCATTAAGCTACGTGACTTTTCAGCCACGCACTATTGAAATACAGACCCGAGTTCGAATCCTGCAGGATTCGAACAAAACTAACCCCCTTTTTTTTTTTCATGTCATCCCTGTGCAGCAGTCGTTTGAACCACACGGCCACTTTCAGCCATGCGATCTTGAAGATCGCGTGGCCGAAATCGGCCGCGCCCTACCGCCTCATCCTTTCAACCGACTCCGAAAAGAGTTAGCACTAGTGTTGCATTTTCAAATTTGATCTCAACACCTGTTGGGTGAAAGTCTGAAGCAATAGCTACTAGGCTAGCTCCATTTATGGATGTAGAAGGAGCAGCTCTTCTACAAGAAGAACTCTCACCCAGGCATTTCGCCTGCCTATGGCTTGGCAAACCCTACCAGCCTCCTTCAACCATAGGGCCCGACCTTCCTTGGTATGGCACGGTCGCGTGCCTGCCGTGGCGGTCCTTTTTAGCCACTTAGGCTCTGAATCGTGCGGCTGTCCTCATTTTAAGCAGGATAGGTTCAGATTTAGTATTCCAACAGTTGTGCATCCCAGCGACCCCGCCAAAAAACGGAAGAGAACTGGTCCTGCCGCCGGTCAATCAGCATCATCGTCGGATGCCTCCAAGCGTTCACACCTAGGTTAAAAGAAGGTCCTCAACCTCTCAGTCATAGGTCAGGTCTGAATAAACTTTCGGCAAGCGCAAAAAAAAAAAAAAAAGACCCCCAAACCCTAATTTCAGTTTTGAACCTGTTAGTCAGAAGTTGAAACTGGGGATCCCCGTTAACCACGTGTGTCGGATAGCGTCTAACATTCAAAAACACCGAGCGTATACCCTTGTAAGGATTTCTGCTCCGACAGCACATCCAGCGGTTGTTTTTAGGTGTAAAAAAGGCGAAGGCTTTTTTTCGCCTTTTTTATGGGGGGGGGTTCAAGAAAGGTGCTGAAAAATCCCTCCACCCAAATACAACACCCGCTACCCTGCCCATCTTCCGTTGGACTATATACCCCACTCAGGGACTGGGTGGGGTATACAGTTCAACGGTTCTTGTGCCATTATTACCTCCTCGTGGGGAGGACACTCTGACAGCCCTGGGAGGACACTGACAGAGAGATGCTGCCTTTGGCCGTGCAGCCCCAAACACGTTTCCTTTATTTGGGCTGTGAATGCACCACGCCAGTTGTACTGTCCACGTTAGTTTCACATTGTAACGAGGTCCCTGTCTCCGACTCCGCCTACCTTGTTCTCCCGAATACAAGGCACATTATAGCTGTATTTGGGGCATCTTTCAGTCTAAAAAACACAGCTGCAATGGCTTCGAAAATGAGGACAAAAGCTTTCAGCAGCATTTGGTTCTTTATTTCACTTTTGGGAAAATAGGGGAGAAAAGCTTTTAGGAGCATTTGATTATCTGTTTTTACATTTGTTTTGAAATTTTAATTTGCAAAAAATGTGTCACACCGTTGAGCTACCTAGTTCAACTCAGCCGCGTATGTGGGACTTGGCCCCCGGTCAGGTAAATGATGATATCTCAAGCAAGTTTGGCCCCCGGTCAGGTAAATGATGATATCTCAAGCAAGTCACCCTTTTTTTTCTTGAAAAAAAAAGAAAAAGAATATACTTCTTTCAGTAAGTTTTTTCAAGTTTTTGGAAGTTTCTCGCAAAATCGAACGAAAATAAAAAATCATAAAATACTGGAGAAAAAACAGATATGTTACACTGTTCTACAGTATTGGAATACAAACAGAGTTTTGACTTCTTTCTTTTTTTTCCCCTTTTTTTGGAAAACACCCCTGCAGTGCTACCGTATTCCCCGAACATAAGGCATATGCGTTGTAAACGAATACAATGCATACCGTGCGTTGTATTCGTTTACAACACATATGCGTTATGTTCGAGTGAACGAACCAACTTTGCCTGCACAAGGGGGTGGAACGACCATTTCATCAAAATGGACATCTTTTATTTTTTGAAAGAAATTGAAACCGAGTTTTTTGGCCGAAAACTCGTCAAAATTTGCTGTTCCTGAGGGTCCGGCGTTTGTAAAACGCTGGACCCCCTGGCTGTACATGGACCTAGCTTGAGACCAGGTACCTTGCTCCACTCAGCAAATGTGCAAAATGCGAATGAATCTTCCACTAGACCGTGGGCAAATACAACCCCTTTCTTTTTTGTCTCGGTGACCATGGCACTGTAGCAAGACTTTGGTGAGTGGCTTTCTTATTTTTCCACTTTCTTGCGCCACTATCTTGGTCGTGCCACATTCTTGGCTGTCAGAAGTGCCTTCGTGCACGGACGGAGAGAGAGAGAGAGAGAGAGAGAGAGAGAGAGAGAGAGAGAGAGAGAGAGAGAGAGAGAGAGAGAGCCCTGCAATGCATGTAAGTGACCTGGAGGGCAGTGTCTTGCCTAAAGAAGAGCATAGGGGGCACAAGAGAGAGAGAGAGAGAGAGAGAGAGAGAGAGAGAGAGAGAGAGAGAGAGAGAGAGAGAGAGAGAGAGAGAGAGAGAGAGAGAGCACGGGCAGTGATCTGTGATTACGGGCCTGCACGGGCCTGTCCCGTTCACCAGGGCAAGAACGGAGCAGGCGTTGACCTTCAGGGGAAAAAAAAAAGAAAAAAGGTTATAATAACTTATATTCGAATACGACAATTTTCTCTTCGTGAAATTCAAATATAACGTATATGCATATTATTCGAATAGAACACATATGCGTTATATTCGAAGTGCCCTTGTATTCGAAGAAAAGGGTCTAACTTTCCCAAAACCGTTTTTTTTTTAACTCGAATACAACACATATGTGTTATGTTCGGGGGAAGACGGTAGTGGTGCTGACAAGGCAAGACACCACTAGCACCCGGGGGGAGGCTCCATCTATTGGTGGGGAGCATCACCTGCTGGAAAACGGGTCCAGCGTCCCATTACAGAATGCATTGCAGAATGAATACAGACTGGATCAAGAGAACTTGACTGTGAAACCTGCCAGCATTGATTGCTCTGGCCACCAGAGGATTGACTGTGCAGGCTGTTAAGGAAGGGGAGAAAACCTCTTCGCCCTAGCATCAGGCGCCAGATATCTACTGCTAAGAAACTAGTCCCTCCCTCCTACTTTTGTTTTTTTTTAAACCCTCCCTTTTCCTTTGAGATCGTGAACACGCCTGCCAGCATCGATTACCCTGAGATCCTCAGGGGATTAACTGTGTAGGAGTGAGCGGGCGCCTGACAACCAAACTTCCGACCGTGTCTTCAGTGGACCGGCCTGATGTACAAGGGGGCGGGGAGGCGGTTTCTGCTCCCAGGGGGCGACTGGGGCAGACTACCAGTCCTCCCTATACCCTTATCCATCATGATCGGTTCACTAAAGTCACTGTTGGAGAGGTTACCCTGTGTCACGGCCATACCAGCTCAGTTCAATCAAGACATTGTTGGGTAAGGGGAATAGGTCAGGGAATTCAGAGGCGAGGGGGAGTGGGATCTTGCTAGGAATTGCAGTCCAATCATGGAAGGTCAATTGGTAGTTTTTCTGCAATGTGTCCAACCGAGTTTTGACTAATGTCGTATGGAACAAAACGTTTTGGCAGGTGGGTGCAGGGACGTCCCCCCCCCCGGTGTGGCGTGGACAGTCCGGATGTCCAGATGGTACTATCCAGACCCAAGTCCAAGTCAGTATCTGGATGTGTCTGGCTATGAGTAGGGCATGGCCATGCTTTGGACTGAGGTCCTGTACAAAGTCCTCTAGTTATGAGCTGTGTAGCATCGCGTTCGGGCTTGGTGACCGAACCCGAGCGCTCTGTACCGAGCCCGAATGTGGCCCAAAATTGACCGAGCCCGAACATTTCTTATATATATTATTATATATATTATTATTATTATTTTTTTTAATATATATATAGGGGTTGGGAAGCCCCGGGGGCCATTGCTCATCACTCCTGAACATACACACACACAAACACACACACACACAACACACACCCGACACACACACGACGACACGTTCGGCAGCCCTCTGATTTGCGCTCGGCTGAGCGTCCGAACATAATCGGCTGCTCGGTGGGGCGCCGAACATGTTCAGCATGCTACGTAGGTTATGTTATAACCTGATTACCTGGCTTTGCCACCGCAAATCCCGCAAACATCCACATTTCCGCTCTCACAGCATGCACCATCCTGTAGCAGGGCATCAAAAAAGCACAGGGGGTGCTCAGCATGCAATGGACAACCCAAGGTGAGGCATAGCCCCAGAGGGAGTAAGTGAAAATTCCTCAACTACATGGCTGAAGAGAACCATTACCCTTCCCAACTCGCCTACCTCAGTTGGTACACGGCCGAGCAGTTGAACAACAGACCCGGGTTCTATCTCCAGTGGAAGCAAATGAGTGAAACTTTACAATTCTGAATTACCTAGGGCCGGTCCGTTCAATGATCTCAAGGCCGTTGCCCTTTGACAAAAAAAACAAACAAGAAAAAAGAGAACCTTTGCTCAGTGGGTTATATCTTCCATGCACTGTTACCATTATGTTATGTACGGGGGTTGATCAGAGCAACTCGCGAATTGGGCCGGATGTGGTTGATCGATGTTGGCAGTGACGATGTTTGCCATGCATCTGTTTTGCGTGTTTCCTTGAAAGTTCCTTTCACCTCCTCCAACCCACTGGACTTTCTAATGTGAAGCCTGGAGGCTTAAACCGCCAGTACACGGCCCCAGCCTTGCTGAAAAGAAAACTCGTCGCCTACAAAATTTTTGGAGGCTCAGCGCCGTAGATAAATCGAATCGTCGGCGGGCGGCCTCCGAAAACGGCCCGCGGCCGATAGCTGGATGTACTGGGGCCCCTTGGGAGAAAGTTGGGACTAAAGACTACCTATCCCAGGACCCCCAAGAAGTGTTCTCAAATTCAACGTCAGAACTATTGCACGTACTTTAGAAAGCAGGATGGCTTCATGGGGTGAGCGAAACCCCGGATGAACGAAAGAGAAAGTCAAGCTATACACATGGAATGGAAGGTGCAGAGGAGCCTGAAGATTTTGTTATGGAGGGGGGAGGAGGGTTCAAGGTGATCAGTTGGGTAGAGCGGAATGCCCCTCTTACCCCTGGTGTCGGTTGGATCCCCCATCTTTGCAATGTACCCCTGCCGAGTACCGTCCAACTTTGCAAAATGCCCTGTACTTAACAACTTCCCCAAGGCCCGCTGGCAAAAGGCCAAGGCCCAAATGGCGAGGTACAGATCGCAAATTTGCTCACCCGCCTGACAGGGGCATAACACAAAGACTTCGGCCCAAAAGGGCATTGTGCCCTACCCACATCTTTCAGGGGCATTTTGGACTACGGGGGTATTTTGCAAAAATGATCACAAAGAAAGAAAGAAATAGATGCAGAAAAAGAAAACAAAAAAAAAGACATACGTCTTTGTTTTTGTTAATGACAAGGCAGCATATCCCCTCTTCCTGGAATTTGCAGCCACGACTGTGGATAACCAGCATGGCATCTTCGAGGGCGATGTCCCATTCGCAGGGATGATTGGATGAAGAGCCTGAATTTGGACGGCTTTTAAGCAGACGCTCAGCAAAGCAGGAATGTTTGCAATTTTCCAAACTTCTCCACAAACACATCCACATTCAGGTGATGAATCCGACCCGCTTTCATGGTGGGAGCCTCACACATTGGGTTCGTATTTTGCAAGTGTGTATCCGTAAGCACGGTGTTCTGTACTCACGGGAGCTACCCGTGAAGATCGGCACTAATCACTGGTAGGTAGCTATACTTTTGCACGATTTACTCATTTTGGTTATTGGGTCTAACCGTCTAACCTATGTGGATGTTTTTTTATTTTTTTTATTTTTTATGTGGATGTTGAGTATACATGTATGGAGGAGATACATGGACAATAGCGCAGGAGGCACAAGGACTGAAGGGCCCCATGTTCCACCCTGAAGCGTTCAAAAGGACAACAAGAGTCTGGGGAAATGGAAACAAGTCTGTCAACTTTTTCACACATGACTCGAGAGAAGTTGAGTGAAAAAGAACTGATTTGTGATGACCCATCCAAACATGGACTGAAACACACAGCTGATTTCTGAGTTTTGCCCATAGACTGAATGCCCTGCTGAGTTTCCCGCTTGTTACCAAGTCTGTGTGTGCACGCTTGCTGGACTGCATGTCTGTCTGAGTGCTGGTTGGCTTGAGTGTGTGTGTGGCCGTGCCTCTGGGTGCTGGTTGGCTTGAATGTGTGTGTGGCCGTGCCTGTCTGAGTGCTGGTTGGCTTGAATGTGTGTGTGGCCCGCAAGGGCACTTGCTCGTTCATTGGGCCCTCAGGGCCGGCACTTACCTGTGGCCGTGACATTGAGGGATTGCAGCAGGAAAAACACTCAAGTAGCGGGTAGGGCGGTACCGCACCCTGAAGGGGTAGATGTGCGGGTACTGGAGGCCGAGCAGAAGAAGACAAAAGTGACATTTTTAGAGGCCCACTAGTTGTAGGTTAGGTCTAGGCGGATACCGGTCCAACCAGTCTGGGTCTAGGGCCTGTACGGGGTAATATCAGAGTCTGCAATGATGTTTCCCTTCGAAAGGGAGGAGGTATCGGTTGCTTGGAAGGCCAAGCGGCCTGGAAGTCACCACCCGAAGAGGCAAGCAGGCCGCTATATCTCCCAGACGGGCGAAGCGCCCGGCCTCTTTTTCGGTGTGCAAGTTTGGCGACACACTGGTGGAGCGCTGGCTGGAGCAGCGCTATGCTGGAGCAGCGCTATGCTGGAGCAGCGCTATGCTGGAGCAGCGCTATGCTGGAGCAGCGCTATGCTGGAGCAGCGCTGCTGGGGAGGAAGGAGAAGGACATGAGGGAGGAAGAAGGAAGGGAGGGGGAGGAGCGCCAGGGGTACTTACCTGGCTATGGTGGCAGCCATCTTCATCACCTTGGTGGGCGCTGCAGCAGGGAGTCCCCAACTGGGGAGAGCTACACCAAGCAGCTTCGAGGCAGGGTCAGGCATGGCGGCCTGAGCTAGAGCAGCCATAGCTGCTTTGGGTTGTCCTTTGGGCATCTGGGCAAGGCCAAGTAGTCCGCCATAGCCTCGGCCTATGAGAGTGAAGAGTGGGAGATGCGGCCATGGCTATGGTAGACCTCAAGTGATACCTGCAGTAGAAGAGGAACTCCGACATTGATTCTGGATCAGCCACTCAACATTATGATTTCTTGTATGAATAAGAGAAGGGGGAGATAAGGAGGAGGAGATTGCTGGGCGAAAAAGAAGAGCCTGGTCATTTGTCTATGCTGGTGTACATCATCTTCTTCTTCTTTCTTACTTCTTCTTCTTCTTCTAATCCTCTTTCTCCTCTCAAGTTCATTCATTCCTTTCTGCAATTGAGTGGCATTGTACTATCTGATGGACGTTTATCTCGAAATTGGCCAGGATTATAACAGATTTGCAATTTTGCATTATGGTAGAGCGTTAGCCGAGAGACCCAAAGTCTCACAAAGGAGACTGACTGACACTGCTGTGAATGGAAGGTTGTTTCAGTGGGAATGAGGAAGCAAGGTGAAGACGAAAAGGAGGGGTGGTGGAGGATGAGGAAGGATTAATGGCAGCATGGAAGAGAGTAGGACAAAGAAGAAGCATCAGTGAAAGAAGATGTTAGCACGAAGAACGCTCACCTTGTCTAGCAGTGCTTGTGTGGAGCTACAGCATTTTTGATTTATGTTGATAATGCCTGATGGGCAGCAATTTCCATCCACATCAACACGCGTGCCACATGCTCTTGGTACCTCACAAGCTTCACCGGTCCACCCTCGGTTGCAGACACACTTTCCATCCTCAGGCTGACAATATCAAAATGCCAAAAACAGTGGGTTCAGTGGGTTCAGCTGAATTTTACACAGGAAGAGTGGGGTATCTGCTGCCATGACATGCAATTCATGGTCAATGTGTAATGATTTCTCAGGCGTTGCACACGGGCTACTAGTACCTTTCCCGCGTGGGAAAATATGGAAAACTGGCAGTTTTCCCAAACTCCTGAATATTCGGAGGTCGGGCCCGACGACGACTGCCATTGATAAATCTGATCGGCGGCCGTCATTTCGTTTCGGCCTCTGAAAAAGTCGGACGCCTACCCGAGGCCCGCTATTTTCCCAAGCGGCAAAGGTACTCGTGGTTAAAAAAAAAAAAAAAAACGATTCGTGCTATTTTGTCATCAGTAAATAATTCATTCCCTCTGGTCCGCATGTGCCGCAGCAGCAATCGCTGCCGCGATGATGAGCAATAATGCACCAACATGCCACGAGAAAGTTTGAATATATATGATATTATATGTTGAATTGTAGATGTCAAAAATGAGCCCAGGAGGATAGCTATTGCCCACCATTTTTTGAGAGCAGCAGAGAGCAACATCTGGGCCCAGAGATACTACAGCTTGCAGAGAGCAAGCAGCCATCCTTACCAGATCAGGTGTCCCGTGTGATTTCATGGAATAAGGGAAAGTTGATAAGTGGTCACTGCAGCTCTCCTACCATCTTCACCCGAATAGAACGCCCGGTCATTATAGCTGTATCTAGATTCTAGACTGAAGTTGCACCGAATACGGCTATAATGACCGGGAGTTCTATTTCGGTGAAGACGGTAGTCTTCCTGGTGACCCACGACTCTGAATGCGATGGTGAAGAACGACTCTCAAGGGAGTGACAGGAGAGCAAGAAGACATGAAAACAAAGAAGGGGCATAAAGACGCTGAAAGGATCTAATAAGAGACGATGAGATTGAGAGAGTTCTTACAACCACCTAACAAACTTCTACCACTGCTGATGTCCTTACTACTTAGTCATCACTTAACTTTCTCTCTTTCTGTCGTCCTCACTCGCACAATGATTCAATGTCCACGCCTACCAATTGCAGAGGAAAAGAGCTGTATCCAGCCCCGCCTTTCCTGAGCACTCCCTCACAGTAAAAGAAGATTAACCAATGAAAATAACAAATGAAGTAAAAAACAAACAAATAAAAGTGATAAAAAGTCAGACTAATTCCAGACTGCTTGGTGATAATGAATGCAAATCATAATTCCATGGCCATACTATATGCACGCCAATGGGCGACCGTTAGGTTACCTGAAGTTAATTACGAAAGGCTCTAACAAGAAGAAAGAGATCACCAGGCAGAGACAGAAACGCCCACAGTCCTAGGAAACAACAAACAGCATTCTCTATGTCGTAAGATGTATCAATGAGACGCTGGACCCGGTTCCCAGTAGGTGCCGCTCACCACCAAGAGATGGAGCAGCCCGACAGATAGGCCCTCAATTCGGACGGTTCTCTTACCACCGCCGGGATCGAGGGCTTACGCAAGGGCTATTTTCGGAAAAAAAAGAAAAAGAAAAAAAGAATGATTCGTGTTCTGTTTAGCAACAGCCCTTTCAACATTACACCTGAAACTGTGAAACAGCCATTTGTTGACATTTAATATACTTTGAGAAATCTGTCATCGTTTTAGCTCCTGAGGGTCCCGGACCCCCTTGAATGTATCTTCCATCTTGACTTTCATCTAAGTCCAGATACAAATCTAGATACATCCAGAACGCCGGACCCTCAGGAGGTAAAATGATCATTTAACTATGTCATTTACCAGTGGGCTTAGCTCAGTTGGTACACCCACAAACTGCTGAAATGCAGACCTGAGTTCGAATCCAGATGATGGGACCAAACAGAGGAACAACATTTCCTGAATTACCTGAGGCCGGTCAGTTTCACGATGATATCTCAAGGCTGTCGTCCTGATGTCCTTTCATTTTTAGCCTTTTTAGGATCAAATAACTTGAAATAAATAGATTTCAAATTGGTTCAAAAAATATAAAATGTCCATTTTTTTTTAACGAAACGGATGTTCCTGGATCTACCTTTCCCAATATCACGTCATCCTCATTCTTGCCACAACACCTCCAGTAACCTCCCTTCCTCTTTAGGTCCTCTACACAAAAAAAAACTGCTAACTCTCTCCAATCACCCCTGCCCTGCAGAATACACCTTCACAAAGGCACTGCGACTTGAAAAACGATCCCATCCTGCTCATACAAACGGCAGCACCACCTACGACCCTGCCAGTTCAATCCCAACAAGAATTTTTGCAGTGCCAAGACCTCAACATCTCAAGCACGAAATGGATCTCACACCTCCCCTCCCGGCTTCCACATACTCCTCTTGTCACTGGCTCTGATTGCACTGCACAACACTGATCTCACAAAGGCCATACAATAACCCCGCGCCAAGCCTTGTCGCTCTGGACTGGACTTTCAGGCAATTGTCTTTCCTTTAGCCGTCTAATAATAGGAATAGTCCATGTCAACCTTTCACACGTCTAATCCTCTTCCTAATTTTATCCTCCACAATCTTCTGTTTAAATTTTAATTGAACAAGTGGACCTGCCGCAGCAAAGGACGATGACAAAAACATTTCGCGAAACACCCCAGTCATCAGTTGGACCCCATCTTTGCAATGTACTCCTACCAGACTCTGCCCAACTTTGCGAATTGCAAAAGGCCAAGTGAATTTGCACACCCGCCTAACAGGGGCATAACACAAATATGCCAGCTTAAAAGGCCATGCCACTGTGCCCATATCTTTTAGGGACATTTTGACATA